TTAAAACCCCAAAAGGAGTTAATTAATTAAATGAACTAGTTGAAGAAGCCACATATGAAGAAGAAAGAGAAAGGGAAACTTTTGCCTCTTCGGAAGTATGTTGTAACAACCAAGGGCTCTGTACTTGTAGATACAAGACAAGTACACAAGAAGAGTCGAATAGCATCAATATGCTATTATTAGATGAAGAACATTTATTACAAGTATTATAAGATATTCCTGATGAGGAAATTAGGAGAAAACATTTACTGATGGCAATACATGACCATAAAGAAAATGATAAAAAAACAAAAATATTTGCTTAAAAAATAAGATATAATGTCATACAATGAAATTATAAAGAAAGCCCAATGAACCTTCTATTTGACACCTACCTTATCAAACCCAAAGAAAGAGGTCAAAAATTTTAAAAATTAAGTTAGATCTCCAAAGATAACTGAAATATTAGAATCTTATAAAGATTCACCTTACCAAGAAGGATCTAATAGATCCTAAAAATATAAAATGTAGAGCCTGCTGAATTTGTAGGAGATTATGAAGAATTTGTATATTCAATCAAATAAGTCAAGTACCAAAAGTGGTACTCAAAAGTTACAATTAAAATTAAAGATTTTAGTTTCGTGGTAATAGCCCTAATTGATTAATGTGACGATATAAAATGTATTAGATAAGTAATTGTGCATTTTAAATATTTTGAGAAAACCTCACAACAAGTGAATGCGGCTAATGAAAGAAAAATGGGGATTAAATACAAATCCCTATTGCCCATATTTGCAATAAGGGAACTTGCCTAAAGACTACGTTTCTCATGGTAAGAAACTTAAGGCAATATGTTATATTAGGAACTCCCTTCCTACTGGCTAATGCCAATTCTTCTCTGCCAAATAGATTCTATAGGAATTACCGCCACCATAGGTGAAATAGTCACCTACAAGTTATGTCAAAAGCAAAAAATAATGACAATAAGTACTCTAAAATAAAACTTAAAAACTAAGTCAAATTTATCTCTGAATTTCAGTCATAAATAAAATAAGTACAATTAGCTAAATCCTTAAAAGTGCCAAAAACCCAACTAGAAATAGAAAAGTTTCAAATAAAATTAGAAAAGGAAATACGAGCTGAAATTCCCAGTGTATTATGGCACAGAAAAAAGCATACGATAGATCTTCCTCATGAAGAAGGATATAGTGAAACAAGAATTATCACTAAAGTCAGATTAATCCAAATGATTGGTAGATTACTATAAATATACAAAAATGAAATTCAATAATTATTAGCTAAAGGTCTAATTAGACCATATAAGTCTCCTTAGAACTGTAAAACGATTTACGTAGAAAACACAACTCAAATAGAAAGAGGAGTACTAAGGCTAGTGATTAAATATAAACCACTCAACAAAGCCTTGAGACGGATCAAATATCATATCCCTAATAAATAGGTTGTATGATGCCAAAATATTCTCCAACTTTGACCTAAAGCCAAGTTCCAAATAAGTGAGAAAGACAAGTACAAAATAGCCTTCACAGTTCCTTTCGGACATTATGAATGGAATGTTATGCCTTTTGAATTAAAAAATGCTCCTAAATTCCAATCAATTATGAATGAAATATTTAATCCTTACACCCAATTCATCGCTATCCCCGACACGCTAAGACAATCTCCACCCTTGCCCCGCCTAGTAAGGAAAGCTAGATACTTAGTAGGGGATGAGGAAAATTATCATCCCAAGCAGATGATTAGTAATTAATGCATTTTCTCTCCCATAAAAAAAAGGAAAAGTTAGCTCGTGATTATTAGGAACATTAATGAAATTGCATGATAAAACCTCAAAATATGCCTTTCAAACATCAAAGAGATAATTGAATTCTCTCCCATAAAAAAAGGAAAAGTTAGGTTGGATTTGGGTTGAGTTCGGGGCATGGTTCACCTAAATGCATGAAGTTTTGGGCACAAGCCTAGGGCTACAAGTTGGGTCGGGTTAGTTCGGTTAAGGCCAATCCTAAGTTATAAGCCCCAACCCTAACTATACTCCTTCAGCCCTAACCCAACCCAACCTTCTTCCCATTTCTTAAAATATTGTAGAACTTCTCAACATCAGATCTTATAGCTCAAATTTCACTACATATATTAATCATATGCTTTATTAGTATTTGTTTGTTGATGTTTTTAATGTTTCCTTTAGTACATGGGAAATGACAAAATTCTTAAATTACTCATATTGTTTATGACAATTGACTAACTCTACCCCTATCGTAAGTATCTGTTAATGTTCTGTCAAAATCCATACACACACGTGACACCATGTGACGTATATTTTGTTAACCCGATATTACCTTTCGCCCCTCTCCCTGACAACAACTACAACGAACCACTCCTCGATGGCAATTGGCAACGCAACCATTCCACTCCCCGTCTTTCATTGCGGTTGAGTTGAAGAATTGTTGCAATGTTCCTATGCCGACTCTGTTAAGAAAACACCTACTTGAAGAAGAAAACGTCGATTTTTCAATGTTCCAGATTGTTCATTTGCATATTCGACTCCAATCCCGTAGGCTCACTAGAATCTAAAGAATAAAGCGACTACCTCTCTCTCTCTCTCTCTCTGACACCTCCTATCAAATTGACTACGGCGGCCAAACCAACTTCACCAATAGGTTCAATGAGACATGGCTCTCACACTATTTCTTCACCGGTAGCTCAACTTTCCCTGTTGTCGAAACTCATCTCTTCTACATCCGTACTTTTACCATTTACGATAACTATGACGTGACAAGCTGCATTCCCCATCTTTGGTGTCTTCGTCGAGGGGACCCTTGTGTTCAATTGGCGGTTGCCATGGAGGGGCGATGTGAGCATGACTAGGGCTTACTGAGCTTGAGTTGTTGTCACACGCTAGAGATCTAGGTTTGAGATATAAGATATGGACTAAACATCGCAACTCAAACTATAACTTAGTTGGTTTGTATTTGATCGAAGATCTCAGACCTTTGAAGTGGCATGAGTCTGATACAACATATTTTAGACTAATGCTGTACATTGCAACAAATACAATCTAGATCTTAGACCTCCGCTATGGAGATCCAACTCATGTTGCACATCACCGGAGATCTTAGACTCATAACTTAGTTAGCTGATATGCACATCACAACTTAGACATATGCCACTCCATATCTTAAACTCATACTCATATGTGCGAGAAGAATCGACCTCTGACTTGTTCAATATTGAATGTTCAAAACAGGGGAGGACGATAAGAGAGAATACACGAAACATGGAATAAGAGGTTGGGGTATGAGTTTTTCTCTTAACTCAAGTGCAAAAAGGACATTTCATCATTTTTTGTTATGATGAAACAACATGGGTGATTTAAGACAATAGTTAAACAATAAGGGTAGAGTTAGTCAATTAGCTAAATAGTAGGGGTAGTTTAAGAAATTTGCCCATTAGAAAAATAAGTGTTTATAATGACTATGGTTTATTATGAGTTATGACTTATGATAGATCTTTTATGGACAATAAACTTAGGATATGAAGAATAAAATATTAAAAAAAATGTTGTTTAAGGTTTTATTCTTTCATATTAAGATAAGTGAAGCTATTATCTTAAAAGAAAGACATGACAGTATGTGGTGGTGGCTGTACAACTATCATGCTTCTAAACAAATCAATATATATATATATATATATATATATTAGAGTTGGATTGTTCAAGGGTCAACCCTAACTCGAGATGAAGTAAAGTCGGATTCATGAATTTCAACCATAACCTTAACCCGAAAATCAACCCGACCCAACACAACACGACTTTACGAGTTTGGTTTGGGCCAACCTGACCCAAGTTGCAGCCTTTTAGGGGAACAAACCGTGGGCATATTTTTGAAACCGAATCAATACTACCGGTTTATGGAAAACTGGTAATCGAAATCGAAACGAAGCCGACCAATTAACTGGTCCGGTTAATGGTTATCTGGTGGTTTGGTTAGTTGGTTTTTCGTTTTTTTTTTGTTTTCACAATATATATATTATAAAAAGTATAAATATATAATAATAAACTAAAAAAATATATAAAATTTTATATTTAAATAATAAATAATAAATTATATATTATAAGTATATATATTTATATATAATGCATATTTATTAATTTAATATATATATATATACAATATACATAAATACATATAAAATATATAGAAATATATGTATATCCGTTAGTTCGGTTAATCGCCGATTTTCTATATTAGTTAACCAAAACCAAAGTGATACCTTCATTTTTTTAAATACTAAATCGATACTAAACTGACTGATTTGATTAACCACATTTTCGATTCAGTTTCGGTCAATTTTTCGGTTCAGTTCGATTTTCCGTTTTCTCTTGCTTATAGCCTTTGCACAGGCCCAGCAACAAGACCGAAAATGAATGTGGCTAAACCGATCTGCCTTCAAACTAGTCCCAAACAAGCTGCTAGGGGCGTAAATGGACCAGTTTTGGGTTGGACTCCGTCCAAATCAAAATCCATTTGGATCGATTAGACAGACCAATAATACATATTGAATATGAACGGACTGGATGGACTAATATGACATATTGGATTGGACCTGGTCCATCCATAATGAATTTATATTGGATTGAGCCAATATCTAATCCATTGATAGAAGATAAGAAGAACATGGGTGTCAATGAACCATGTTTGAGTTGAAACCAATCTAAATTAACATGAATTTGAACAAATTCAACAATCTTTCAACTGGTCCAACACGGTCCAAAATATCTATCGGACTGGATTGGACCAGGTCCATTTGTAATGGACTCACATTGGACTGAACCGGATTGGACAAAATCCAGTCCAATTAACACCCCTACAAGCTGCATCCCTAGTAGCGACTAGCGAATTCAACTCACAGAGTCACAGTAGACATCATGGGACCCATGCCATGAATCATGCATGATAAGTAACAAGGGTGTACTGGCACGGTTCCGGTGGGCTCGAATTTTGTATTCTGCACTGCAAACACGATAAGAAACACCGTACTTATAACTTGCTTCCGTGTTCGGCGAGCTAATTTCTGAGTTCACGAATCGTTTCGGATACAATACAATTCACATATAAAATATAAACAAGACGTATCAGACACCCCACGAAAGGATCGGAGAAAAGGCAGGCAAGGAGAGAACCGAAGGAGAAGAGATGTTGCAGAGACCCAGACGAAGGTGCGAGGGTACGGCCATGGGAGCCATAATTCTGGATCTCCGTCCAGGTTCTGGAATTGGCCCTTTTGATCTTGGTAATCCTCCATCTTTTCCTAATTACATCTTTCGTCAAATCAATTTATTTGAACTTGTCAAATCTTTTTGTTGATTTGATCTTGGCCAGTTTCCCCTCATCAGTTCGCTGTTTTCATCGGTCAATTGGGGTTGTTTTAGTTTTATCGAGGAATCAATTGTTTTCTATTGATACGCATGAGTCATTGTGGAGTTGCTATTTTATATTCCTAATTTCATTTCCCCCTTTTCTAAAGATTCCTCATCAATTTATTTCCTGCGTCTCTCCTTGCTTTTGTATGTATTCCATGTGTCATCTCCACCGCTGCACTGCATTGATAATCTCTCCTGTTATGCAGGGATGCCAATATCTGAAGCATTTGCTCAAATAGAGCAGCAGCCCAACATATATGACGTTGTCCATGTGAAGTACTTCGACGAGGTGAATTAAGATTTTGAATTTTATTGAAGTTCTTCCATTTACACTGTTTAGCATGTTCACACTAGGCAAGGCATTCCTTATACCCATACAATGAAAACGATTGACAAGTTTGTCTTTACAGGTTCAAATATCTTTGCTAAAGGAACTGATCACTACTTGCAAGTGTTCTGTATATGCATGATAACTAGGGTTTCAACTTGGGCGGGCTCGGCTGAGCATTTGTTAAAATTTGAATGGGCATGGGCCTTCCCTTGCTTTGTAAATTCTTCAAATTGGGTATCCGACTTACACTCCTAATGATAACCAAAATTGTGGACAGTCGGTTGAATCATATTTGAAATATTTTAGTTCAGTGTCAAATTGGCCTGATAAGAACAGTGACATGAATTTAGTGGCTTTGATAAAGGAACAAATCATTTTGTCATCAAGTTCTAAAAATGCTAGAATTTTGACAAGGAGAAACAGTTAGATGATATTATTGACTTTATTAAGGTAAGCGTGGCTCATTGAGCCTTGACAAGGGAGAGATTCAAAGGAGAGGCAATGGATGATACTTGATTCTGGGAGGGTGGTCCACAATTATTGGTTTTGCGTAGACAACAAACAATTCAAGCTTAGGTAGATCCTGATATGGGAAATATAAAATTGAACTTTGATGGATGCATTTTTGGTAATCCAGGACAATCAAGAATTAGATGTGTGTTAAGGAAATGAAACTGGAGTCAAATTTTTGTGCTTTTCAGGTCAAGTTGGAGAAGGCAACTTTTTGAGGGCTGGCCAGCTGGGATTAGGGGTGCAAGTTGGGTGGGCTGGGCCAGGTTTAAGGTCAACCCAGGCCCAACCCTAAATATTGGGCCTACAGTTGGGCCCAATTCCATCCTAGGCCCAGCCTGAATTGAAAATTGGAATACTTGGGTTCGGCTCAGGCTTGGGCTGAACTTGGTTTGGTCAATTGGGCTCAAGTGGGCCTGTTATGCTCAATTTTCTAAAAAGTTGCATGAACCTATTTAATATCACTAATTTAAACATTTAAATAGGAATTTTATATATTTTGCGTTTAAGCATGCATGCATGCATGTGTATATGTATGTGTGTATGTATGCATTTGTGTAGTCAGGCTAGGCTTGAGCTCTGCCCCAAAAATAGAAATGCCTTGGGTGTTGGGCGCAGACCCAGCCTGAGGACTGAAAATCCAATCCTAGCATGTGCAAAAAATGCGGGCTCGGTCAATCCGAGCTTGGGTTGGGCCCACCCAGGTTGCACCTCTAGCTGGGATGTTTTCTTTCCTCAAAGTCCTAAGGATGGGTTTTTTCTTCTAATTCTTCCCATTAGGAGGCGAAGGAGATTACCGGATTGTGATATATTGGTTCTCATGTACAACTACTGGTTTTTGGGTTCCCAGACACTTTATTAGTCTCAAAGACTTTGACATCCAATATGAACTTCTAGTTCAATTGGATTTCTATATATGCCAATGACCTTTCTAATTCTTTGACAAGGGACGAGGATACACGAACCGAGTAGGTTTGGGGCTCCATGCTCGTGGTCTTGTAACGGAATTGTGAACGTGATGATACAACAAAATAGGTTGGTCTTAGGCTGTTCCCCTGCACTAGTTATCCTGTCCTTACAGATGGAGAATTAGGGGTTTTATACTTTTATCTTGTACCTTGATAAATATTAGGTATTATTTTTTTGATAAGTAAAAGTTCATTAATATTTCATTGAAATCAGTAATATTAGGTATTATTACTGATAAAAAGGTTTTTTTTTTTTGGTTTCTTTATAGGCTTATAGCACATTCCTGGTGCCTTAGTATATTACACTCCGACAGGTCCTTGGCTATCCATCAGGGCTATTGGAACTCTTGAATGTGACTACATGAGCACTGCAAATACAATGGGATCTTTACATTAGAAAGATGCACAAGGTCCATGGTTATCCATCAGGGCCATTGGAACTCATCAACATGACTACATGAGCAAACACAAAGGGATCTTTACATTAGAAAGATGCACCGAAAGAAACTACTGTGCCTTGAGCCTTGTTCCTCATATATGACTAGTGAAATTATTTGTGTTTTCACCTGTACATGTTAAAATCTTACGAGGCCCTTCATTGTTTTAGATGTGATTATGTTAGGTAATCTGTTGGTTAGAGATGTAAATCAGTCCTCTAATATCAAGATTAAATTTAGTGATTAGCAGAATAGAACAGATCTGAATAACTGTATAAGAGAGGAAGATGGCGAAGAGAAGAGGTAAGAGAAGAAGAAGTCAAATTATCACCCTTCTCTTCTAACCCTATTTTTTATTAATCTCTAAAAAAATGATGATGACAAGTATACCCTTAAGTGGGCGGCCAACATGGCAGTTACATAAAGAAAGTAAAATAAGAACAAATAACAGGCCCATTAAGTGAGGCCCATCAACATAAAATAAAAGATAAAATAAAGGATATCACATGAGAGGCTGTCAGGGCCCATTCGGCCCAGTCTCTTTACAGTTAGCACCTTATGCAATATAGTTTCTGCAGGTAAAGTGGTAAGCTTCTGCTATTCTGCTACCCATATGTGAATCTTATATTTGATGTGCTTCATTATAATCATAATAGGCTCATCTGATTATTTTGTTCAATGTAAACTTGTTTAGTTTAAGTATGGTATTTAGATTTTCCTTGATTGCCAGTTCTTTTTTTGTTTTAGTGTTGATTGGTACAAGAAATTATTGTTACTGGTAAAATTGCTAATACTGAATCTGATATTCTTAATGGTCATGTTTTATGATATTTACAGAAAATTCTTTAGGTTCAAAATGAGGGGGGCTTCTCATTGTTATTTCCTTTTATTTTTTATTTTTTATTTTGCAGGAGCCACTGAAATTGGACATTGTTATTAGCTTTCCTGATCATGGATTTCATCTTCGATTCGATCCTTGGTCACAGGTATGCTTTCCTCAACATATAGTGAATGTGATGCAGCTCCACATGATCTTTGACTTTCTATCTCTGGAAAAGGGAAGATCATGTAGAGAAAATCTTATCAGGATGGTTAAACCTGTATTGTCTTCTAAACAATTTAAATAAATAAGACCACAAGAGCAGAATGTTTCACCAAGAAATACATAAACAAATCTTTTATTTATTTTTGATTTATAGCAACAAGATCTTTTGACCATGTTTAATTTGGAGCACATTTAAAACGTGTTTCCTGTCCATAAAAAGGTCTACATTATAATAGAATGATTCAATGAGAAATTCATAAACAAATCTTCCATTTTCATGTCTTGGATTTGTATCAAGTTACCAAGACAAGGTTTGGAATTTGGAGGGATTGGTGGCGTTGGTAAATCTGTCTCAGACTGGATTTTGGTGTGGCCTGAATGTGAACAAGTCCAGAAGACTTTGGGGACAGGGTTGGGGAAGTATTGGGGTTATTGTTTTGTATTTCGGATGATTTGTTCTGATTTGTTTTTTTCCTGCCTTGTGATGTTTCAAGGTGTTGCCTTAACACCTGGTCAGTCTGTAATATATTTTCTTTTTAGTGAGATCTTTACTTTTACTATAAAAAAGTTGCTAACATGATCTCTAGATCATTTTTGATTTGGAAGACTTTTTTTTTTTGTCTTTTCTGAAAAAGGGAAATAATGCATTGTTGTATAATCTTACAATGGCAACATGTACAAGTATGGTTGCATTCCATAGTTTAGACCCTGTACAGTAAGGCATTATACAGCAAATGGTTCTATATGACAGGGAATAAAAACCACAATCAGAACGGCATTTAATACATTCTATCTAGAGAAATTGTTTTTTAACTTGCCTAAATTTTCAAAGGGAAGTCTAAAACCCAGACTGTTGTTTGTTTAGGTAAATAGAGTTTTGCTAACAATTGTCACTTCACTGCCAGGAAACAAATGCTAGCCTAAATCTTTGGTCGACACATTTTTTTCATGTAAATAATTCTTTTGTTTTTTGTTTTTTTTTTGATCAGCAAAGGTAAGTTTTATTAAGCATTATATGAAAATTGAGGTTACAAACATTGTGGGTAGTTGACCCACACCCATAGGAGTAAACAAACACAGCTAGAGTTACAATCCCCAAAAACCAGCCTTACAATTTAGCCCAAAATAAATGCTGCCTCTTTGCCTCCTGTTTAGCTATTGTATCTGTCATGCCATTTGCAGTTCTTCTCACTCATTTAAAAGTAACACTTAGTTCCCTTGTTATCCTTTCAATTTCCCTAATCCTTTGCCTGTAATCCCAAGGGGTTCGGCTGTGAAATTTTGTCCAGGAAATCACCACCTGACAGTCCCCTTTCACTTCTTCTAACCTTTGAAAACCAAACTGTTTTGCAAGTTTCAGCCCTTGAAGTAGAGCCATTAATTATATATTATACTTTTATCAGGGAGAGGGGGGGAGAGGGGGAGGAGCTGAGATGGGAGAGGAACTGTGTTTTCATCTGGTGCCATTGTCTGAGTTGGTGAGAGGGTGAGAGGGTGAAGCAAAGAGAAGGTTGCTGAGAGGGTGAGAGGGTGAGAGGGAGAGGAACTGTGTTTTCATCTGGTGCCATTGTCTGAG